ATCTTAGTCCAAAAAAATGTGTTTTTAAATATTCTATAAGATGGTTATAATAGTTTAATAATTACACATAAGTTAATAAACAAGAATGTTGAAAAAAAGATATTTTCCAAAATTTTTGATTTTTCAAATATCAATAATTTTATAATTTCTGGACGAATCAGGTTCAAAAATAGGTCAATCGAAACGTTTTTTAAAGCTCTATAAGTTGGTAACGATACTTTTAAAGTTACTTTTACATTTTTCAACAAAATTTTCAAAAAAGTGTTATTTTTGAAAAATTTAGGTTTTTAAAACTTTAATATCTCTGGCTAATATGGACGAAAAATATTCAATGAAGGCTTAAAAGATGCGTCTGAAAAAACTCTTCAAAACTAAAGAAAAACATTTATAGGTGTCCTAACATTTTTTTTAAGTTATGGCCAAAAAACGTTTTTTTACAAAAAGAAAAATGCAAAAAAAAAATAGTTAAACTTTATGAATCGGGCTGAAAATACTCTCATTTTATGTCCCCTGGGGAGACCTACAATTTAAAAAAAATTGAGGCCTTTAGCTCTTTCTCGTTCTGAGATATTGAGGCAAATGTAATGTTAGTACACACCACACACATCGGAACAAATTTTTATAATCCGTTTTTTGGACTTCTGAGATAATATTACATCAAAATTTTTTAAAATTTATTTATAACATTTATAGGCGCAATGCCCATTCGCGCATAAAGTACTAAAAGATTAGGTATAATGAAAAAAAGTTTATAAATATGTCAAAAAAACACAATCGAAAATTTTGCTAATACAATCCCTCCTCTATGAGGAAGCAAAATTAAAAAATTGTAGCTACATCAACCAGAATTCTGGATAATTTAACCGAAATTATGGTTCTTTTAACTAAATACCAGATTATCCTAACAAGATTTATTGTTATCCTAATTAGAATTCTACTTAAGGTCCATTAAACAACATAATTCTTTTTTTCCAGGTTAAAAAACGACATTTTTCCAGGTTATTAATACGAAAATTATTTGAAAATATCAATAACTTCATTTTTAAATAAATATTTAATCATTATTATTTTTTCATATAGAAAATATTCAATTTTTTTTATATTCAATTATAAAATTTTTAAGAATAATTTTATTTGTTAAGAAATTTGATGAAAATTGTATTGAAATTCTGTCACGAGTTCCATTATATTTTTATGAAAATAATTGAATCCCTGTGAAAATGTTATTATTCATGAAAATAATTGAATTATTGCGAAGAAATTTATAAAAAAATTTTGTCAATAATTGAATTCCTGGAAAATTTTTATTATTTATGAAAATAATTGAATTTATTTTAAATAATTGAATTCGTTTAGAAAATTGTATTAAAATAGTAGATATTGAAAATCATTGAATTGCAGAAAATTTTTGAAAATAGTTAAAATTTTGCCAATTTTTAAAATTAAACCTTTTCAAAATTAAATTATTTCTAAAAATTTATAGTAAAATGCTCTAAATATTCAATTGTTATGTAAAATTTTAACTAAAATTCTTTTTTAAATCAGTTTTTATTAGAAAATTCTATTAGAATTCAATTATTAAAATACAAAAATAAATAATTTATTAATTGAATGTTTCTTAAAATTGAATGCTCGTAAACAATTTTATCAAATAAATTTTTAAGTAAGTGAATTCCCTCGACGAATTTTAACAAAGTTTTTTAAATAATTACATTTTTCAAGAAATTTGTTTAAAATTGTATTAAAAATAATTGAAATTCTGCGGAAAGTTTTATTATTTGTGAAAATAATTGAATCCCTAAGAAGAATTTTATTATTTTTGAACATAATTAAATTTCTGTAATAATTTGTAATGCAAATAAATAATTTATTGAATAATTGAATGTTTCTTAAAATTCAAATCTCATAAATAATTTTATCAACAAATTTTAAATAATTTAATTCTTTCGACGAAGTTTAATAAAATTTTTAAGAATAATTACATTTTTCGAGAAATTTGATTAAAATTTTACATTAAAAATAATTGAAATTCTACAATGAGTTTTATTATTTATGAAAATAATTGAATTATTGCGAAAAAATTTTTAAAAAATTTGTAAATAATTGAATTTCTGTGAAATTATTATTATTTAATGAAAATAATTAAATGTTTGCCAAGAATTTTATTATAATTTTTTAAAATAATTGAATTTCGGAGAGGAATCTTATTTTTTATATAGAAAATTGAAATTTTGACGAGAATTTTTGTAAATTTTTGAAAATAATTGGATTTCTTTGGAAAATGATTGAATTTCTGAGACGAATTTTATTAAAATATCTTTTTAAATAATTGAATTCTTTTGCGAAATTTTATTGAAATAGTAGACATTGAAAATAATTGAATTTTGACAAAAATTTTTGAAATTAATTAAATTTCTACGTAGAATTTTATGAAAATTATTTTGAAAAAAATGTTACCGTTACAAAGAATTTCATTATTTATGAAAATAATTCCATTTTTTGAAGAAATTTCATTAAAAATGTATTAAAAATTGAAAAAAAATTGAAAGTCTGCGATTAGTTTTATTATGAATTCATAAAAATAATTGAATCCCTGTAAAAAATGTTATTATTTATGAAAATCATTGAATAATAATTTTAAATTAAAATTTTGTTAAAAATCTTTAAAAACAGGCCATTCTTTCATACACATATCCCAAACCTCCAATTATATCGATAATTATTAATCCTTTTGTATTCTAAAATTAACGACCGAACATAAAGAAGTAAATAAATTATATTGCTCAACTAAATAAAAAGAAATAAAATTGTTACCATATTGAATCGGCAATTAGCGTATATCAATGATTAATGAGACTCGTTTCATTTTCATTAATGAACTTTAGTTATAGTTTGCACTTCATTGCTCGATTCTAACGGCATTTGCATATAAATTGAAGCGCGAATCTGATACCCCTCGTTATTTCACTTTCGCATGAAAGTCAACAATTATTATTATTTTTTTTCCCCCACGGAATTTATCTTGATGAGCTCGAAAAATTCCAATTGAGCAATAATTATTATCTATTTATTGAAATAGATAAATTTTTATATTATTTCTTTTTTTCACTAATTTATACATTTAAATGTTTCCTTGAATTCAATAATTTATGAAAGCATATTTACAAAATCATTTATTCATCATTCAAGGCTAATTATCAAAGTGAATTCAAATATTGGCGTTTATTAATTAAAAAATAATTCAGCAATGATATCATGTTATTAATTATTGTAACTATTATTAATTATAATAATTATTAAATAAATTATAATAAAATAATAAATAAATAATTAATCTAATACATTAATTTTGTTCTAATTTTTAATGAAATGGAAATTTACTTTGAGAAAATTATTTTTATTGTTATTTCGAAATTAGTTTGATAAAAGTTTGTTTCTAATGTTCGTTTGGCTCACATTACAATTGACACTACAAGAGTCCATTGTATAGTGCCAATTGCAATGAGTTCCTTTTCACTTGTCAATTGAGTAACAATTAATAGACTACCTCGAGTGTCAACAATTTTATCGAGTCTTCCTTTACTGCATCAATCATGACTAAAAACTTTTGTACAAAAAAATAACTAACTATAAATAACTACAAATAAAAAATTCAACTAATATTTATTACATCCAATGCAATATTAATTTATTTATTATGCGGAATAATTCACGTAACGTTATTTTTAGTAAACTAAACCATTGATAAAGTGGTTTAGTACAGAATTGGATATCTATTGATAAAGTGCGCCAACACTTATCAAAAATTTTTCCATAATCATTTAAATAATGAGCCTACGCTTTTTTTTCCTTCCAACAAATATAATATTGTGTCTAAAGAAATAATGTATAATCTAAAACCACGACGATTATTTCTTTTCGCAATAACTTTCCAATATGTCTAACGACACCTATCAATTCCATAAAAATTTTATCGGCTTGTTTCGAATGGGTGTCCCATTTATTCACAGATAATTTCAAATATAAACCTATAATTATCAAACCCATCCTTATAAGTTGAAAGAGAAGGTTAAAATTGCCATTTAGTTGTATCTTTCTTTCAATTATTTTATTTATTATCCCCGTGAGGTAATTAACTGGTTTTTCTCAATCCAATAAGTATATTTGAAAAAGAAAAAGAAAAAAAAAACAAAAAACAAGGTGGAAAGTTGTTTGATTAAATAAAATGTGCATTAATTAATGGTCATGGAATTTCTTGATGAGAGTGTTAAAGATGGTAAACAGAGAGTGAAAGAGAGGAAAAAGAAATTTTCTAATGCCCAAGGACTTGTTCTTATCTTTAAACTTATCAACCTTATAAAAAATATTTTCGACTAAAGTCACGAAGAACTCATCGAACCGGTTTTTCGCATTTAAAATTCAAGTTTTGTATAAGCGTATCAACGATAACAGTTGACATTGAAGTTATACGTGACATGAAGACAGGCAATCCTTGCCAATGTCACCGCAACATTTGCAGCAATCAAAGAAGTGTTTGAGGATCACTTCAATTATTTGAGCATGTATCTCTTTTGAATATCTATTAAATATGCTAACCGAGAAATCTTGGTTCATACAAAACCAAAACATGATTAAAAAAAAGACGATATCAAAATAACAAGATACTTTTTCTTTTTAAATACATTTAAAAATACAAATACTTATTTTCGATAACGAAATTCTTTAGGAAATGCATTAAATACGTGAATGCAAACAATAGTTAATTAAAATATTATTAATATTAAATAATAATAATATTAACTGTTGTGTCAAGAATAGTACTGTACAGTTAAGGTTTTAATTCTTAACATTAGTTACAGCAGACATAAGAAGCCAATAAACCCAAAAATAAGTTATGCCCCTTTTGATCCAATTTTTGATGGTTATGCCTTTTTGATACAATTTTTGATGGTTATGCCTTTTGGATACATTTTTTGATAGTTGTGCCCTTTTTGTTACAGGGGTCGAGAGGAGAGACCTGCCATGGTTCTAACCGTGACAGAGGACACTCCGGCAGATATGTTGGCTGGAAGCATGGAGCTTCTGGTCCAACTGCCAAGAGATCACAATGTTCAAACACAGAGAGTCACCGTACAACGAAGGTAAGCCAAATTTTTGGCTCAACTAAAACTATTAAATAAAAGAAAAGTGTAAAAAGAAATTGCCAAATTAGAACTGATTTCAGTTATTGTTGTTGCTATGTTCCTATCTGTTGTTCCCAAAAAAAACAATTTTTGATCAGAACAACAGAAAAGAGCATAGGAACAACAAAATTAGTAATATCAAACATCGGAATTCCGATAATAGAAAACAAATTAACAACAACAAGAAAAGAATATGTCATTACAATTCTCGGAATAAGTTTTTCTTGAAGAAACTAATTGAAGTTTTTTTAGAGGTTCAACTGCAATAAACAGGTTGAAACGCCATCTTATTTTGATTTTCATGTTGTGTCCCATGTAATCACATCCACGGCGGTCGTGGTTTTGACGCGTTTAAAGAAATGAGAACAACTTCCAATATATAGCAGTGACCATCGAAGCAATACACAACCTGTCGATTCCCTTTTACGTAATCCCTTGACCACGGTTGATTGCACTTGATATCAGTACTTCGTCCTACTAAGCAATAAAACCAGATCTCTCTCCATTCCAAAAACACCTTTTCTTCCACCAACTTTTTTTATATAAATAAACATATAAATAAATTTATAAATAAACTTATAAATATTAAATAAATTTATGAATAGTTATAAATAAATTATAGTCTAATTTCCTATCACTACACAACATTCCCATAAATTAATAATTTTAATATCAATTTAAAATGATAATTAACAATTAAAATGATTAGAAGAATTAAAATGATACATTCCACTTTATTCTATTCTAATTAAGAGAAATAAACGGTTTTTTTTAAAAATCATTACACTGAGACAAAGGATATACTTAGTGTTAGTTTAAAAATAATAAAATCATATTATGAGCGCGAGAAGAAGACCATTGTTGTAAAAAAACTTGTGGCAGCTAATTTTTCTAATTACCTTAACAGCAAATTGTGTTTCCCTACACACAATGATTACAGTAACAGTTGAAAATTTCTACCAAGACTCAGAGTTGCCGTTTAACAAAATGCTCTTCCCGCATTTTTTTGCACTTTCGCTTTTTTCCCTTTTCGCGCCTTCGAACAAAAGAAAAAATTAAACGTTTTACATTGTTCTAAAAAATTATCCTCCACTTCATTATTAACGTATTCTTCGGATTAGATTACTTTCTACACTATATGGTTGGACACGAGAAATTTAATCGAGCGCAGAATCACCACCTTTAAATCATTTCTTTTATTCTATTTTTCCAGTTTAAAAAACTTTCTCACAAATAATCTCTTTCCTTTGAAAGTATACGATAAATATTTATTCTGTAAATATATACACAACAAATAGGTAAACAAAAAATAAATCCTTTTTCCCTCCGCATCATATGAAATTACTGTAATTATTAATTTTCTAAATTGTCAATATCAATCAATTTTGTTTGTTGTATTTTATACTATTAATTTTAACGACGAGAAAAGGTGGTTTTAAACATTTAAAGATAACTATTAAACATTAAATTATGGTTCTTGCATATAGAGAAAATTTCCATTTTTCCTCAAGTTGTAATCTATTAGTTAAAAAGTAGAACGGATTTTATATTATTGTGACAAGAAATTTTCTATCTAAATCGAAAACAAATTATGCGGAAGGTATTGACGTTTTTTGCCATAAACCATCATGCGGCATACTACCGTTAAGCGGACCACATTGTCCAATGGCATCGAGTAACATTTCACAAACTGGGAATCAAGAAAATAAATCAAATTCTCACTTAAGATGTGAAACGCTCGATTTATCTAACGGTTACATCTCAAATTGACGGTGAAAACATTTTTCCGAACATAAATAACAAAAAAATTTACAAAAAAAAACCAGTAGCGAATATTAGCACCTCAACAATTGATGATCAGTAGACAATAACTAAAATTACCACTGAATACAAATATTAATGATTTAACAGAAAAAAAAACATTTCAAATAAAAATAAACTAAATATTTTCTACTAAAAAAGAATTCTGGTAAAATTAAACTTCTGGTTTTAGAATGATTAAACCAACCAGAAATCTGGATAAAATAACTAGAATTCTGAATAAAACCTAGAATAACAAAAAATCTAAACAAACTCCATAATAGTTGAAGTAACTAAAACTCTGGTTATTCCAACCATATTTCTTTTCTCTCCACCACCAAGAATTGTATACTTATCCTCAACAGCAAAAAAAATAACAAAAAAGCAACAATATGAACTGAATAATATCAATAAATATTATTAATAAACTAAATGACTGGTTAGAATTTCCATGAAAATGAGCAATAAATTTTTGCTTTTAATCTTTTTCTCTAGTACGCCAATGATGGACCTTCTTGTACAAGTGGCAACGGCTCACAAATTGGTTGCTTCCAGTTACACCCTGCAAGCTATTGGCGAACGGGGTATGGTTCTACCTCATCAACCAAACACACCAATTGGAGCACTCGATGCACTACAGGTAAAATATATTTTAACAACTAGGAAATCCTTTTTACCAAGAACCACGATTAGACGTTTCTTTCATTTCCCGAGAAATTTCCTATTCACATTTCACTCTCTCATCGCGATAGCAAGAAAATCGATTCAACGGATGCTGTGACTTTACAAAAAGTGATGCTACGAGATTTAATGTCAAAAGAAATATTAAGAGAAAATAATTTCAATTATAAATTTTTTATTTTATTTTCAAATAAATCCAAAAAAAAATTCAACTATATTTTTAATACAGGGTTGCCAGAAAACTAATTTTGTTTTTCCCTGATTCCCAGACAAAATATTCACTTTTTCCGTTAAAGAACATCAATAACTTCTTTTTTAAATAAATATTAAATTATTATTATTTTTCTATAGGAATTAAGATTCTCAAATTCAATTTATGAAACATGAAGAAATCGACCGGTTTCCTCATGTTTTATATTAAATTTAAGATGACAGGGTGATAAAATCATTATTTTATATATCATAAGAATATTGTAACTATAAATTCAAATTTTCAAAAATTTTAATTTAAATTTAAGCCCTTTTCAAAATTCAATTATTTCTAAAAATTCATGCTATAATGATTTAAATATTCCATTATTATCTAAAATTTTTACTAAAATTCATTTTTTAATCAATTTTTATTAAAAAATTTTTCGAGAATTCAATTATTTAAATACAAAAATAAACATTTTATTCAATAATTAAATATTTCTTAAAATTGAATTTTAATGAAAAATTTTTTCAAAATTTTTAAAAACAATTGAAATTCAGCGATAAATTTTGTTATTAATAAAAATAATTGAATTCTTGCAACGAACTTTATTAAAATAAGAATTGAATTGTTATGATTGTGAAATCAATTGAATTCCGGAGAAAAATATTATTATTTATGAAAATAATTAATTTCTTGTGAAGAATTTCATTCAAATTTTTTTAAATAATTGGATTTTTCAGAATTTTTAAAAACTTTTTGAAAATAATTAAATTTTATCAAAAAATTTCATTAAAAAAAAAAAATAATTGGAATCTGACAAAGAATTAAAAAAAATTTTTTTTTTTTAATAATTAAATTCCTGTAAAAATGTTTATTCTTGAAAAGAATTAAATTCTTTGGAAGAATTTTATTCAAATTTCTTAAATAATTAAATTGCTTTGAAGAATTTTATTTTTTACGAAAATAATTGAATTTTTCGATTAATTAAATTAAAATAGTGTTATAAATAATTAAAATTTTTCGATGAGTTTTATTATTTATGAAAGTAATTAAAATCTTGCAATGAAATTTATTTAAAAAATTTTCAAAGAATTTAATTCCTGTAAAAAATTCTATTTGTGAAAATAATTGAATTCCGGAGAAAAATATTATTATTTATGAAAATAATTAATTTCTTGTGAAGAATTTCATTCAAATTTTTTTAAATAATTGGATTTTTCAGAATTTTTAAAAACTTTTTGAAAATAATTAAATTTTATCAAAAAATTTCATTAAAAAAAAAAAATAATTGGAATCTGACAAAGAATTAAAAAAAATTTTTTTTTTTAATAATTAAATTCCTGTAAAAATGTTTATTCTTGAAAAGAATTAAATTCTTTGGAAGAATTTTATTCAAATTTCTTAAATAATTGAATTGCTTTGAAGAATTTTATTTTTTACGAAAATAATTGAATTTTTCGATTAATTAAATTAAAATAGTGTTATAAATAATTAAAATTTTTCGATGAGTTTTATTATTTATGAAAATAATTGAAATCTTGCAATGAAATTTATTTAAAAAATTTTCAAAGAATTTGTAAAAAATTCTATTTGTGAAAATAATTGAATTCCGGAGAAAAATATTATTATTTATAAAAATAATTAATTTCTTGTGAAGAATTTCATTCAAATTTTTTTAAATAATTGGATTTTTCAGAATTTTTAAAAACTTTTTGAAAATAATTAAATTTTATCAAAAAATTTCATTAAAAAAAAAAAATAATTGGAATCTGACAAAGAATTAAAAAAAAATTTTTTTTTTTAATAATTAAATTCCTGTAAAAATGTTTATTCTTGAAAAGAATTAAATTCTTTGGAAGAATTTTATTCAAATTTCTTAAATAATTAAATTGCTTTGAAGAATTTTATTTTTTACGAAAATAATTGAATTTTTCGATTAATTAAATTAAAATAGTGTTATAAATAATTAAAATTTTTCGATGAGTTTTATTATTTATGAAAATAATTAAAATCTTGCAATGAAATTTATTTAAAAAATTTTCAAAGAATTTAATTCCTGTAAAAAATTCTATTTGTGAAAATAATTGAATTCCGGAGAAAAATATTATTATTTATAAAAATAATTAATTTCTTGTGAAGAATTTTATTCAAATTTTTTTAAATAATTGGATTTTTCAGAATTTTTTAAAACTTTTTGAAAATAATTAAATTTTATCAAAAAATTTCATTAAAAAAAAAAAATAATTGGAATCTGACAAAGAATTAAAAAAATTTTTTTTTTTTTAATAATTAAATTCCTGTAAAAATGTTTATTCTTTGGAAGAATTTTATTCAAATTTCTTAAATAATTGAATTGCTTCGAAGAATTTTATTTTTTACAAAAATAATTGAATTTTTCGATTAATTAAATTAAAATAGTGCTATAAATAATTAAAATTTTTCGATGAGTTTTATTATTTATGAAAATAATTGAATTCTTGCAACGAAATTTATTTAAAAAATTTTCAAAGAATTTAATTCCTGTGAAAAATTCTATTTGTGAAAATAATTGAATTCCGGAGAAAAATATTATTTATAAAAATAATTAATTTCTTGTGAAGAATTTTATTCAAATTTTTTTAAATAATTGGATTTTTCAGAATTTTTGAAAACTTTTTGAAAATAATTAAATTTTATCGAAAAATTTAGCATTTAAAAAATAGAAAAATAATTGAAATCTGACAAAAAATTAAAAATTTTTTTTAAAATAATTTAATTCACTGTGAAAATGTTTAATTTTGAAAAGAATGAAATTCTTAGGAAGAATTTTATTCAAATTTCTTAAATAATTGAATTTCTTCGAAGAATTTTAGTTTTTACGAAAATAATTGAATTATTTTGAAGATTTTCACAAACATTTTTGACAATAATTGTATTCTATGATCAATTTTATTACAATTTTTCAAATTCATAAAGCATTTTATCAAATTTTTTTAAATAATAGAATTCTCAAGAAAAATTTTATTATTTATGAAAATAATTGATTTCTAGCGAAGAATTTTATTCAAATTTTTTTAAATAATTGAATTCTCAAAAGAAAAATGTATTATTTGTGAAAATAATTGAATTTAAGAAGAATTGTACTAAAAATAATTGAATTGTATTTGTATAGGAAAATTTTATTAACTAAATCTTGTAAAGATCTTTGTCAAAATTTTTTTAAATAATAGAATTTTTAAAAGAATTTTATTTAAATTTTTCGAAATAATTGAATTTTTTAGAACTATTTTTTTCAATTATCTGAATATATTTGAATTCTTTGGACAAACTTCATTAAAAAATTAAAAATAATTGAATTAGTGCGAAGAAATTTTTAAAAAATTGGTAAGCAATTGAATTCCTATGAAATTTTTACTAAAACTTTGTTTAAATAATAGAATTCTGTTAGAAAACTTTATTAAATTAGAAGATATTAAAAATAATTGAAATGAGGAAAATTTTTGAAAATAATTGAAATTTTGACAAGAATTTTATTAAATTTTTTGAAAATAATTGACTTTTGGAGAAGAATTTTATTATTTATAAATTATAACGATAATTAAAATTTTGACGAGAATTTAAAAAAATTTTTAGACATAATTGAATTTATGCGAAGATGTTCATCACTTTTTAAAATAATTGAATTTCTGTAATCAGTTGTTCTTCAAATTTCAATTTAAATTCATTAAAAATTGATATTTTCTAAAATTTCAAATTGAAACCTCTTTGATGTTCATCTATTTATGAATATTGTAAACGCAACTCTTTTGAAATGCAATTAATTTTGAAATTTTTAAGTAAAATTATTCATTAAATAATTTCTAAGTAATAATTTTATGATAGTTCTTCAAGAATTAAGTTATTTAAAAAGAAATTATTGTCAGAAATAGAAAAAATTGAAGGGTTTGTATTAAAATTCTTGTCAATTTCATGAGGCAAACAGAAAAGACCAAAATTCAGAATTTGCTTATAAATTATAAAAATTTAATTCTTTCCAGTACTTTTAATAAAAATCCTCAACTTTTCCCTGATTTTCCTGACCAATTCTAATTTCCCTGACTTCCCTGATTTGTGGCAACCCTGTAATAGAATTGAAAATTTTTATTATTTCGAAAATTTGCAATTATTTCTACTTGTTTATAATTCACATTTCATTCTAAAATTCAATTACACTTTAAATTATTTCTTGAAAGGAAAGAAAGAAAATATTTCTAAATACCATTCGATACTACATCAGAGGAGAAAAATTTCTAAAGACTACAATTTTTCGATATAAAGAAACGTTCTTGAAAAGCCAGTGACTTGAAAAATTAGAAGACTAGAACTAATAATTTTCTCAATTGCAATAAAAAGTCAAATATATATAAGCTTCTACTGAATCGATTCTCCGCTTCCTGTTCTATAGGCAAAGATTGATATTAAAATTGCCATGCACTGATGAATCTCTCTCAGAGTCGTTTTCCTGTCATTAAAGTTGTCATCATTATCATCAGTCGTTGTTGTTCAGTCTTCGTTTCAAGAAGAAAAGAGACAGAGAGAATACGAAAGAATGAATGGTAAAAAAAAAGAATGAAAAGAAGACACGATTGTTAGTGGTCAAGTAAACGACTGCGAAAATTACTCAAAGAGAGGGTGACTTGACAATTTGAAAACTCGAATATTGACACTTTCTTTTCATCCGCAGGTTAAATTACTTCCCAAGCAAGGAACATTCTTATCCCGTAAAACGAGGCAAGCCAACCAACCATTCGAAACAACTTTTCGATTACAGGTGAGAGAGACAACTATAAAAACAACATTCAATTCACATTATTTTTACTCGAACCCCCCAAAAAAGGAGACTATTTAATTTTAACAAAGAAAACACAAAAAGTTAGATAAAAGAAAAATTCGCAGAATCATTTTGTTTGAGAAGAAAAAAAATGTCAATAAAGAAATTACGATTCCTGCGTCATGTTTTCATTGACCGCACTGATCTCTCCATTTTATTAATTGCTATTTTTTTTCTTCAATTAACTACTTATGCAATTCAATCGTTTTTCCCCCTTTTTTTTGTCAATTTTTATCGTTTTAAAGAAAAAAAACTAAAAAAGTGATTCACACTCAAAAAAGTTTCACCTTTTTACATCATTTACTTGCTTCAAATTAATATTTATTTAATTATAAACATCTAATCGGTCACTTGATTCAATAATAAATCTTTTTTCACCGCATTTCTATTCCACTTTAAAAAACACCTCAATTTTCTCCTCATTTTATAAAAAAAAATTAAAATTAATAACCTTCCACATATACGAATGCTAATATAATTAATTACAATTATAATTAATTGTTTTAGGTTCATCTACCAAGAAATCAATTATACGTTTCGAGAGTGAGTCCAAAAATGAACTTGGGAGATATTCTCGAGGAAGTGTGCCGCGAGAAAAATCTCGACATGAAGAAGTACGAGCTTCGTCATCCCGGTGAGTGTACACTCACATATATATACACATTTATATTTCTACATATTGAAAAAGGAAAGAAAAAAAATCAAAACTAATGATTCGTGTAACTGTTGATTATTGCGTGTGAAATCACATACAACCAACCGCAGACTTCAATTATTCTTTACGAACAAATAAAAAGGATCGTTTGAAAAATAATGATAATGATGATGTATCGCTCTCTCTGCCGTGCTACTATCTCTTTCTTTCACCAAAACAACTTTTCTCTATTATTATTAACTATTTTTCCACTATTAACCTGTCACTATTCAGTACCCACTTCATTATCTATTGAAAGAATTACCATCTTTCATTGCATTCGAAAAATTACTTGAAATAACTTTACCTTAAAGTTGAAATTTACACACGAATCCCGATACTGAATTTGTCCACTGAAACAGAAAATAAAACGTTTAAAAAAAATTATTGTAAAATAATAATAATGAAAATAAAACCAAAAACATTCGGACAACATTAAACAATATCAATAAAATCAGTTAATTATCAATCAAATCAAATATATATCTACGATATTTTCTACACATTATATGTACAGTTGAAATATAATTGAAAATTGCTTGACAAATAAAGGATAAAATTGCCCCGAGATTACTTTATTGACTTCAATATTACGTTGGCAAGTTTTGATATGCGTTTTAAAGAGTAATTGCGGCGACTAGTTTCGAGATCATTATCCGGATTTTAATGCGAAAGTAATGTGTGGCGAATGTATGATCGAGTCGGATCGGAAATCATCCAATTTGCGGTCTCCCAAGTCATGGACATACACTTGATGTCTTTTGATTTCCCCCTTTACTTTTTTTTTCATCATGTTATTTAACTCAATCAAGTATTCCGCACTGTTAATTTTTACATTTTCAATTAAATATTCTCTCCACGATTCTAATTTCCTCGTGAATTATTCATTGTTTTTTTTTAATTAACAAAACATTGCGATAATTCTCTAAAAATCTGAATCAGTTAAAATTTTAACTAAAGATTTAAAAGAGAGGGAAAAAGGATCGAATTAGGGACTTTCACCTTCTGGAAAAGGAAGACTTTTTCCCATATTAGACGGATTTAGTAAAACCACCACCGGATTTAGATGATGACTTTCGCAATTGAAGGCACTTGTATTCCGCAACAAGGTCTGTAATACAACTCTGCAAAGACGGAATTGCATACTCGTGTATACGATTGCGCAACTGAATAATATTCACGCGATTAGAAATGAAATTCAGAATTTTGTACTAAACGGAAAGAAAAATTACCGAAATATCAAAAGTTCATATGTAGATATTTATTTTCTTAAACCAGAAACGAGAATATTTTCGAAAAGAAAACTACAACAACTAAAAACAAGTTTTCAGAAACAATAAATATTTTTCATTTGCAAACACTAATGATCGATTTTAGTCTCTATCAGAGGCAGTTTATCCCTTTTTAATCTGCGGTATCAACGCTGGTTATTTCTCTGTAAAACAAGTTGGTCTCGATTCTAAGAGTCGGTCACACGATACAGTTGTAAGACTTCAGAAACCTATCAGTTATGAACCAAGGCAAAATCCGATTTTCTCTGAAAAAGAAAAATTTTGCTTTGCTTCAGACTTTATGGAGGACAATCGATTTCATTATTTCTTTATAATCAAAATAATACCTTCTCATGTATGTATGAATGTAAAAATTGAAATAAAAATTCATTAAAACAAAAAGGAATTCAGATATCATTAAACAATTCTCTTCTTTCTTACAGCAAATCTGGAAGAAATTCTAGATCTGTCACTCTCCCTACAAGACTATCATCTACAAGAAGTGACACTCTACGCCAAACAAGGAAGAATTATAAGTGCAGCTCTCAGCTCACAAGACATAATGGCACTTCAAAAACAAGAAGATCGACGACGTCAACAAGCGAAACAAAGTGTTTTTGGTTTTATGTTCAAAAAATCAAAGGAGAATTCCTTGAGTACAGATAGTCTTGGTGAACGAAGTGTATCACCGGCAAGAAGTGACGAGACAGGTAGAAGTTCAAGTCCAATGGCACCACCGCCTCGACCACTTCGTAAAAGGAGACAAGCGCCAAAACCACCAGTCTCAACGACGTCTGTCATCGAAGAAACCAGCGACAGTGCAAAAGACAAAATGGTCATCAGTCACAGTCGAAACAGTAGCGACAGTTCCGGCTATCATGAGGCATCAGTATTGAGTGATCATCCAGAATCCGCTGGACGAATGCCGGAAACTCTTCCGAGAAGAGGAAAAACTCTAGACACCCCTAGAAATCTTGCTCAAACCTCGCACGCCAGTAAAAGTCTAGGCAACTTGGCTCTTGCTTCCGGAGGACTTAGTCATGGAATTAGCACCACTTCTTTAAGTTCTACTGGTAGGTTCTTCTTTCTGTACTTTTCTTACCTTACTCCCGTACCAATTACTCTAAAAAATCGAATACTGCACAAAATGTTTCTTTGCACTGCCCACAGATTCGAACGCAAGTAAGTAAACCCAAAGTCCACTAAAAATTTTCACCTTCCACACTAGCAGACTAACTCCCTTTAATTTCAGGTCAACGTAAAAAGAGAGCAGCACCTCCACCTCCGATAGCAAAATTACCATCAGCAATATCAAGCCAAGCACTCGAATGTATCGTCGATTCGGAAGAGTCCCTAACATCGGACATGGAACTATCGAAACCATCATCAGACATCGCAACCTCATCGAAAGCAAATTCCGACATTGCCGTTCACTATAAAGCCAATTCAGACATTGGTATTACAACACTATCGAAACTTATTTCAAATTCAAAATCACTTTCCGAATCCGAGGAGAACACCAGAATACGAGAGAAAGAAGCAGTAGCAGCTGAAAAAATTTCCGAAACGGACAGAAAAATTCGCGAAACAGAAACTTCATCCAAAGAGGATGCCTCAAAACCTGTTTTAAACCACGAACCTGTAGTAACGAGTGCAAACAAACCAGTAGTTGCCAACGCTAAAGTAGTAAAAAGAGGTAAGCTAGTTCACAGACCCAATAGTATAGACAATAATTTTACTTCTTATAGTTTTGTATCAAGAAATTCCTTCGAAAATGTGCTTGAACTCGAACCACCAGAAGAAGTAGAAACCCTTCAACAAGTCTCCCTCTCCCACAGTATGTTCGAACCGGAAAAATTGAAACTACACACAAAAATTGAACACTATCGTTCCAATCATAAACCACCAGAAATTTTCCAATTATCCAACTCTCCAAACTCTGAAAACCAAGTTCTGAAACATGAAACCTCTCCCCATCGAGCCATCGGCTTCGTAAAACCAATAGTCAAATCTCCCGAAAAACTAAAATCCGACCCAAAATTAAAGAAATCAAAAAGTTTTTTAAACACTTCAGAAAAAAATCTACAACCAACTAACAAAAATTACAGAACGTCCAGTCTTCGAACAAATCGCAAACCACCGATAAATACAACCAATCAAAAATCGACTCTAAAATCGTACGATGGTAAATTCTCGCGGGAGAAACTAGTCAAAATTCCCACCATTTCCCATCTTGACAATATAGATAGCCACTTGGAAAATATGCCCGAATGCGGAATTCTAGAAAATAGATTCAGTCCCATCAAGTCCCACATTGGCAGTTACATCTGCAGTGAAAGAAAGTGTTCCAGAAATTTAAAATACAGTACCAGTTTTCAAAATCAAAAACTAAAAGACACAAAGATTATCAATAGTTTCGAGCAACCACAATTCATCCTCTCTCGAAGTTTCTCCTCTCGCTACAATTCAAATTCAAGATCAGAATTTTTTCCCAAATTAAATTCGAGAATTGAATTATTCCCCAAATTAGGACACTACAATATCACCGATTGTTACAAAAATCCTATCATTTCCTCAAATACACAAGAATTCAGTTACAATTCAATGGATTCAATTGACTGCGATGTAGAATTCACTCCTCCACCTCTGAGTAAATTGCAGATTTTTGCCATTTCCACAAAACCCGAAGACATTCAAATTGGACCAATGGACTCGATACCGAACGAAATTGATAAATTGCCATCGCTTCCAATTATTAATCATTCGACTAATGAGATTGAAAAAAAATTAAGTATCCTAGAACCTCCGCCTCCGGGTCTAGTCAGTCGGGAAGAATCCAACAAAAATTGGAATCAATTTCTAATGAATTTAAATTCCATTCTAGAAAATAGAGTCGAGGAATTTGTCTAATTCACTGGTTTCGATTTCAAAGCACATTTGATTATCAGGGTTGCCATAAAAATTTTATTTTGTTTCTCCCTTACTTTTCCTTTATTTCCGGACAAACTTTTGATTTTTTTCCTAATTCCAATACTATGAAAAATATTTAAAGCAAAAATAATTAATTTAGGAATAAAACTTCAAGAAATTAACAATTAACTCTGAGTAACATTTTTTTCCGAGTATATAAAACAAAATTCAAGAGGAGTTCAATTATTTATTAAAAATAAAGTTAATTTTTAGAAGCAAAATTTTAATTTGAAACTTAGACGGGTGTCTATATCTATGTTGAAAATAAAATTAGTTACTACTCTCTAAATTTTAAATAGTAAAATTAAATTATTAGTAATTATTACTAAAATTAGTAAAACTTACTAATTTAAATTAGTGACTGACTTTTTGCTTTTGAATTAGTAAATTTTACTAATTTTACTAAAATTAATAGTCATTTCTACTAATTTATAAGTAAAATTTACCAATTAAAAAGCTAATAGTAAACATTTTTATTAATTCTAATTTGGAGAGTAGAGTAACTAATTTGCCTCGATATATAATTTTCAAAAATTCGATTAAAATTCTTTTATGAAAATCAATTAATTTAATAGATTTTTAGGAAATTTCGATTATTATTAAAGTTTGCAATTAAATATTCGTTAAAAATTTATTTATCTTTACAAAATAGATTTGAAATATTTTAGAAATAGAAACCTAATTTTTCAGAATTTTAAATAAAACATTTCGAAATTTAAATTTTTTAAAAAACTTTAAATCTCGATTTTACAATTAACTAATTAAACAAAAATTTTAACTCTTTCAAAATCAAATTTTTAGTTGCAAATTTGGACGCTTAGATGCAATTTTTTTCTCTACAAAAACATGAATACATTCGATTGTGATTGTTTGAAAAATTCAATTATTTACTAATTATTAAATTTAATCTTTAAAAATTCGTTTTTATAATTTCTAATGAAATTATTAAACAAATTTAATTATTTTCAATTCAATTTTACGAAATTTTTATTAATTTAACAAATTCTGAATAAATTTTTCTTTTAATTTCTTATATAATTCTTTAACAAATTATTTTTAATTCAATTCCACAAAATTTATATAAACTGACAAATATTTAATAACTTTTTTTTTTTAATTTCTAATGAAATTCTTTAACAAATTTAATTGTTTTCAATTCAATTTCACACAATTATTATAAATTTACAAATTTTTAATAAAACTTTTTCAAATTTCTCATGAAATTCTGTAACAAATTTAATCTTTTTTCATTCAAATCGACAAAATTTATATTTTCTATATAATTTAATTAAAGTTTTTCAGAAATATAATTTTTCCAAAATTCTAAATAGAACTTTTCAAAATTTCAATTTTGCATAAAAATTCAATTATTTTAAGCTATTATTTATTAAATTAAAATTCTTTTAGAATTAGATTTTTTGTTAAATCTTTAAAAAAGTTCTTTAAAAATTTAATTATTTTCAATTTAATTTCACAAGATTTAAATTAATTTGACAATTCTTAAACAAAATATTCTTTTAAAATGAAATTATCTTTTAATAATTGAATTCAAACTTCTTAAAAAGCAAATTTTTTCAATGCTTTTAAACAGAATTTATATAAAACTTAAATAGTTTTTTAAATAAATATTTAATTATACTGTTTCTTTCTTTCCTAGTGTAAAAAAAATGATTTTAGAATTCATTTAAAAATTAAAATATGTTTATTTATTTATAAAAATATGAAAAAATAAAAAAAAATTTAATTCGTTGCATTTTAAAAGTTTTTAAGTGAAAAAAATTCATAGATTATTCCAGGTTTTTAAAAATTTGAAAAATATTTTTGTATATCAAAAAGCAGTTTGTTAGCAATTCTAAAATATTTTTCTAGTAATTTTGAAAAAAAATTTCGATGATATTTCATTATTTTCCTTGACGAATTTCAGTTTTGCTATGACTTCTTCTGATATCCTCGACATGTGGCAACCCTATGTATTGTATATATATAAAAATAAATTTTAAATCTCCCTGCGTAATTTTTTTTCAAAGTAATATTCACTGCTTGCTAGTATCTAGATAGAAAGTATGCTTTTCCCTACGCACTTATAGCACTAATTTTCTTTGTTTTTATTTTCTAATTTATATTTGGTGATGGTTTTTGTTTTTTTTTTTCGATAAAACTATAGTCGCAGAATACTGTCCAACACCTAAGCCACGTAAGCTTGTTAAATCAAACACCGTAGAGCCAGTCTTGTCCGGAATACCAAAACGCAAAGCTCCATCTCCATTATCAGAAGATCAACGCTTATCTCAAGCAAACTCACCTGAACTAGTTACCTTTGAACAATCAGTCGCTAACAGTATCAAAAGCTTGGATGATGTTTTAAATAATTCTCTCCTCACTGACACCGAACTAACACTCGAAAACGAGAATAACAATCAAGACAATAATTTTGAAAATAATTCACCAAAACCGGTAAATTTACCACAGGACACTGAATTTCCAAAACAAGAGAATAAACACCCAGAGATCAAAAAAATAGAAAAATTAGACAAAAAAGAAAAAAAAGAACAAACAGAAGAAAATCAAAATGTACCAAATTCGGAAAATCTCGAAAACGAAAAATTAAACCAAAATGTCAACAGTTATGAATCAAGAGATAATGAGCAAACAGAAAATAATTGGGAAACACCTGCAATAAAATCATCAAATGAAATTGACAATAAAAAACGCTCATGTAAAATAATCTCAACAATTCCAAAGTGTGATCATCTTGATTGTATCGACTCTGATGATTTAGAGATTTCTAATCAGTATTCAAATAACGACACTGTCAATAAATCAGAAAATGATAATTCTCAATTAATTGAGAAAATAGAGAGTGAAAAGTATGCCGTTGATTTGGAAGATAATAAAAAAACTTGGAAATCACCTGATAACGAACATGAGATTCATAAACGTACAAAAATATTTAGAAGTCAGTCGGAACTGAGTAATTTTGAGATAAATACACCAGAGAGAATTGGAAGACATCTAACATCACATGCTGAGGATTTTTTGTGTGCATTCAATACAAATTTGTCAGCAAATATTTCCAATTTATCATCACCACCATCATCATCATCAACAACAATCACAAATAATTTTGATAAGACTGAAAATTTTTCCACTCAACACAATAAAGAGGAATTGGAATTAAGGCATTCTGATAAAGATTTCAATTGTCAACGTATTTTGGAGAAATTAAAAGAGGATGTGGAACAAGTGAAGCAACTTACACACAATACAGGTGCATGTCTCGCTGCTTTTACTAACAATCTATTTTTATTTTATTTACACTCTAATTTACGTAGGTATATCAATGAAAAATATTCACTTACATAAATTTTTAATCTACATAAATTTAAATCAATATTTTCATTCCCAAGTACTTTTACATTAATATTTCTAATACTATCTCGAATCCTGTTTAAAAAAAAAACAAGTTCAAAATAGAGTATAAAAATAAAACAAATTTTTTTTTAAAAATGAAAACATTACCTATTACGTAAATTAAAGTATTTTAAACTAGTTTTATTTTTCATTAAATAATCATATTGAGAGTACATTTGCATTACTAATTTTAATGAATTGAATTATTATTCATGTTCCATTTGTTTTTCAACGTGAATCATTTTTCATAAGTGAACGCGTTTAGTGCCTACGCACAAGCATTACAAATATTGAGTTTGTCTGATAAAAGATTTCAAGATAATGTGGGTTTGTCGTTTTGTAATATAATTTATTTTTGGTGATGGTTAAAATTCATAGAATTGCACTGTAATGAAAGCACAATAGAAAAAAAAAACTTATTGCACGTATTTAGTAAAATATTAATAGTTTTTCTTTTTTAGAAAAATTTCGAAAATAAAATTTAATGTTAATTTTATTAATTTTATTATTTTTCATTTTTAGAAACATTATGAAACAAAAATTTAATACTGTGTAATTTAATTAATTAGTTAATTCAACTATAATGAAATAGTCTTCCAATTAAAATCAAATTTATTAATCATTCAGTTTAAAAAAATTTTATTACATTATTTAATATATTAATATTGAATCATTTTTACATTATTCAGAAATTAAATTTTTTATTTTCTCTTAATTGAGATTAGGTGATAGATTTAATTTTTGGATATTTCGTTTCATTGTCCGTAAACATTGTCATCTACTCGAATTATTAATGATCACTAATTAGAAATTGAATCAACAGAAGTAGAAATTAACGAAATTTATTCTGATTCAGATTCGCCAGCTCGACTTTCGGAGACAGACATCCTATTACAAAAAGTATCGGACACACTTTCCAGTGCCCTTCCACCAACTCCGCCACCAACACCTTTGGAAAGCTTGGAAGTGTCACGAATTGTTGACTTAGAAATCTCAAAAAAAGAACCAAAAAAACAAAAGACAATTGTCGAATCCCAAAAATCCACTTGTCCTTCAGAAGAAAAGCAATCATCATCAAAAGATCATATTTCCGAAAAATCAATTATTGGCACAAGTTCCCCCGATGTCACCGTAAATTCTCAACAAGACACTTCCGACTACGTGTCCGCTTCCGGAGAGGATTTATCATTACCAGACTGGGAATATCAACTCCCAGCTCCACCGACCGCTTTCCGAGACGTCGAGACATCATCTATTGTCATTTCCGAAAGCGATTGTCCCCAAAAACAAGAAATTATCCCCCCACCAATTTCCACCGATCAAACCGATTCCACACTAAATTTCCCTCAAAACCAAAAATTCAAATCAATCGAAAAATCACCAGAAAATCTAAAAACAGAAATCCCTTCCAAAATGGAGAACAAAACAAGACAAATTTCCCCAGAAGCCTACAAATCAGAACTAAATTTAGAACTAAAAAGAGAAATGATTTCCGAACTAGAGAGTAAAATTGAAATCAGATCCCAACAACCGCAAGCAAAGCACGAAATCGAAGATGTTTCAACTCCAAATATCGCCCCGGTTGACAATACCCTGTCGAATTTCACCTTCACAACATACGCGAGGCAAAAGAGTTTAAATATATTCGACGAAATCGAGGAGCAAAGTGTTCCACTGGTAAAGACGTCAAATGAAAAATCAAGAGCAACACTCACACTACAGCGGAACGAAGAATCAAAAGACAGAATGGCTCATAAACCAATCGATGTAACAACAAAGGTATTTATTAGCAGGACACAAAGTATCGAGAGAGTTACCACCCCACTGGATTCGGAATTGAGGCGACCTGAATATAAAACGAATCAGCAGGGCAATTTGAATCGAAGACAATCGTTAAAGAGTGAAATCGATAAACCCGTCACTGTCTACAGATCAAAGAGTTATATCACATTGACGAGTAATGAGAAATATAAGGGTCACAGTAATGAGGAGGAGAATGAGAAGATCACTTTAGAGGAGGAAAGCGAGAAGACAACGACTTCTTCAAATATTCAAAAAGCGACAAGTGTCACGAATTTGAATCAGGATATGACGCGAAGCAATGAGAAATTCTCGCAATGGAGGGACAATATTTTGAAGAGGCAAGAGGAGCCAACCAAAGAGAAGCAACTACAGTCCCTACAGGTACGAATAATTATAGGTTTTTATTTTCTTTTTCCCTGTCTCTTTCCTGATTTCGAGACGAAATTTTCCCTTCTTCCCTGGCCCCAAAAGAATATTCTGATACACACTCAAATTGATTAGATATTCAAAAAAATGTTCTATTAGGGTAAGGGGCCCCAAGGTGCGGCTACCCATCTTTTGATAATTTAATTCCTAAAATTAAATTTAATTAAATTTAAATTATTAAACTTTTTCAAAAATCTAAGTTTTTTAAAATTTGGAGGAAATATTTTTTGTATCAGTGAATTCTATTTTAACGTTGGCTAAAGTTTCTTGTGTTTTACAGGTGCTTAAGAGCATTTTGCCGCAGTTGAAAAACGCTCAACAGGCGGAAGAAAATGTTCGCAAAAATGCCATAGAAAAACAACCAACTACGGATAAAAAGTAAGAATAAAATTCATTTCTTTAAATTAGCAATCGTTGCTATAACTTTAAAAAAAATTGAATAAAGTAACTCTTACTGTATCCTTAGTAAAACCAAAACTACAATTGGAAATTTTTACTAGAACGCAAATATTAAAAGAGAAATTCAATTAAAATACGACTACAATTTTCTGACAACAGTAAAATTTTAGACGTATTTTAATTGAATTTTTCTTTCAATATTTATTGCGTCCTCGTGAAAATTTCCAGTAGTAGTTTTGGTTTTATTAAGAGTACAGGCATCTTTAAATTCTTCTTGAATATTTTTTTCAAAATTAAATTAACTAACGAGACATTTTTCTCCTTCAGGTCAGAAACTGTACCCGAAGAATCCTCGAGAGCAGAACCTAAAATAACCACAACAACCAACGACGTACAAATGAGATCAGAATTAAAAAATCGAAAAGTCAATCCCGAGAAGCGTTACACATATTCGGGACCACCTGCAGTTAGTTTGGGAAGCTGGTCCGAAAGGCCGTGTGTCAATGTTCAAATAAAAATGGACACCGACTACAAATTGGGCGTCAACAATACCTCCGGCTCAAAAACAATTGTCAATCTCAACGGCTCACGAAACGAAAGAGATCCAATAAACACCCAAGAAATCACATCGAGAACCCTACCAAAGAACACAATAAACGGTTTCAAAGAAAAGGAAACAAAATCCGAGAGCAATGACTTCTCAAAAAAAGCAATAACCCAAACAACAATTACCGCCTTCAAGAAACCAACAATAATAAACAAAATGAATTACACCGATTCCACTGAGGTGAAGCCAATCGTCACAAGCGTTGAATTAAAGAAACTCGATAAATCCGAAAATCACGAAATCGAAACAAAATCAATAAAATTCGAGGAACTATCAAAAACATTCGGTCAAGAGGTGCGCCTAAGAACAAAGCCAAAATCATCAATTAGTCAAAATCGTCATTCGGAATATTTCGGTAGAAATTCAGAGATTGTCAATAATATTGTTAATGCTGGAAATAATAACAATAATAACAATAATAAACAAAATGGTTATCAAGAGGCAAATAATCACGTTACAACATTTAATGGAACGCAAAATATTCCAATTAAAAAATATACGTCCGTCGTGGGTATTAATTCACAGAGTAACAATAATTTTCGATTTCAAAATGGTCAATTATCGAAAAATAATAATGTTACATCAATGAGAATAAATGGTCCAATGCCAATTGTGAAAGGATTCAATGTTCTACCATCGCAAATCAGTACGGTAACTGTCAAGCAGAACGAATCGTCGGTTGTTGATTCATCGAAAAATGATGCACGAATACCAAAACCACCGACAATGCCCATCATTACTGGAGTGACTTTAAAAAGTGCCAATGCAAGACCAAAATCAATGCCTGTCAATATTGATCCACGTGATCAACTATTGGAATCAATTAGGAATTTTGGTGGTCGAGATAAATTAAGAAGTGTGAGTACTATTCATTTCCGTTAAATACTATGAAAACTCTATAAATTCTATCTCTCAAAGTTCGGCTAATTAAGTTCAACAAATAATTATTCGTTAATTAACTTGATTAGACAATAAAAATCCTAAAAAATTCTAGCTCTTGAAATTCGGCTAAATATAATATATATCCAGCTACAGGGTTTCTACAAATTTCTCCTTATAAAATTCCATGATTTTTCCATGATTTTCAGGTGATAAATGATAAAATTTTTGTCAGTTAAGTCAGGTAAAATGTCATGAAAAAAATTTTTTTGGCAGGGAAATTAAGAAAATTGAGACTTTCTCGACTTTTCTTCCAAACATTGCAACAAAATACCACAATTTTTAGTAAAAAAAAAAGTGCAACTTATTTTGATTTTTATAGTGCAAAAAATAAACAAATCTTTCAAAAATTGTTTTCGAATAGTTAAAATTTTGTAAAATTTCATTGAAAATAATTAATTTATTTCAAGTATTTTGGTATACAATTTTTGAAAATCAACTTCTGAAGAATTTTAATTGCAAATTTTGAAAATAATTGAATTATCAAAAATTTTAATGGAAAATCTTTAAAGGTAAATTTAAAAATAAAAATAAGCTTCTAATTTTTTAAAATTCAATATTTTTAATAGGTATTTTCATTTACATATTTCCAAAAATAATAACATTTTAGAATTATTTTTAAAAATTTGGAGAAAACAATAATATTCAAAATTTTTAATTAAAATTATAAAATATTAAATATTAAATATTAAATATTATTAATAATTTTAAAAAATTAGAATGCAACAATTCTAAGAATGATTTTTTTCAAAAATAAAATAAAAATTTAATCCTAACTCGCTAATTAACAAACATTTTTTGTTTCAGGCTGCCGGAAGGTATTAAATTTTCTAAAAATTGTAAAATTATTCCAAAAGTAAGAGCTCAGTCATAATGTTACACTAGTTACGTAATTAAGAGTAACTGTAAAAATTTAATTAAGTTAATTAAAATCACGCGATGCCTTATCGTTAATTCAAATTCTGCGCATTTGTAAAGTTACTAAGTTATCAGATGTAATCTCTGGTGTAGGAAACAATTGTTAAAACAACGTTTCGTATTTTTTTTCTCAAACTATTTCCATCAACTGTTTTTTTTTTCTTAAAAATAAAAAAACCTACGCTCCAAGAGCTTGTAAATAATATATTAAAGTAAAAAATTAAAAACTAACAAGTGCTCCATTTGTCTGATAATAGTTAATAAGTTTTTGCAGAATTTAAAAAAAACAAAAAAAATTGTATTTTGTTTACTGTTTCGTACGATTTTTTGCGTTAATAATAATAATATAATCGAAATGAAAAAAAAATTGTTCACGTTAAGTGTGTGTTGTTCGAATGAAATGTCATTGTATGACAAATTGTATTAATTGTTTAATTGAATGTTAACAATATTTTTCTGTATGACACTGTTCCCGCCCTATTGTTCTTCGGGCATTGACATTCCACGTTAAAAAATTATTTATGTAAATTTGTGTAAATCCCAAAAAAAACATTTTAGCAATCTAGGGAAATTGCTAATAAAAATTACGCTCAGAATTTTTCTTCCAGGTTTTCAAATTTTCACGAGAAGAAAATTATTTTCTCACAATCAGAAAAATTAGAAAATATTTTTTGTTCCTTGAATTCGAAAAGAAAATTAGTTTCTTAAAATTAGAAATTCGTTATTCGTTCAATAATTTAAATCTAATTTTATAGTCAAAACAATAGAAAATCGTGAAAAAAATTAAAATTCCTTGAAAAAAATCCTGAGTGACACAAGAAAAAAGAAACAAAAAAAAATGTACATAAAAACTTTTCAGATTGAAATAGTAATTTGTATTGTTGAAAATTATGTATTATAAATATTGTTTTGAAAATAGTCAATAATCATCGATATTGCTCATTTTCCTTTTTTTTTTCTTTATAGTTTGAATGAAATATACCGTTCAATCTTAGCTTTGGTCATGTTTCAACGAGAAAATAGGAAAAAAAACACTAAATACCAAAGTCTATCAAGGACGGATGTAATATTGTGCAAATAACGCTAAATAGCGCTAAACTAACACATTCTAATCATTGAAAGTAAACTCTTTTAAGTTTCTATCAACGGGACCAAAGGTAACATTCTTCTTATTTTTATTATGTATTATATATACGAAATAAATTCATATGGTTAGAAAGACAAAAGAAAAATTAAAACATATCTGCGCAAGAAAAAAAGGCTGATAAAAGTCAAATTACGAGAAAAAAAAGAATTCAAAGGCCTAGAGTAATATTTTTATGGTGAATGTATTTTGTAATGTAGCATAAATGAAAAATTCCGATTTATAACATTCCTTGTACAAAATTTCTGTCACTTTCTGTAAATATTTCTTCGTTTAATTATTCTTTATTGTATTGTTCATAATCGTTCAATTAAAACACGATAGAATTTTCTTTTTCTTTGAAAATTTCTTCTTTAAAAAAGAAAAAAAACAACTTTTTAAAAAAGTAAACTCTTCCATTAATAACTAATAAAATTTCTAATTTTCATTAATATTAAATCTTCCATTTTCAAAATAACAACTAATTCTTCTTCCATTATATCAATATTATTAATTTTCACATTTGCATTAAAAGAATAAAACAAGATTTTTTTTGAAATAATAATTAAAATGTCAAAATAGTATTTCTACTTAAAAAAATAGAAAACAAGATTTAAAATAGTTTAAGTATCAATTTATTTGTATAAAGAATGTAATATTCTATTTAATGTTTCACATACGTTATTATTATGGCAAAATGCTGTAATCTATTTATGTGCGTTGTAACTTATAAATAAGTGAATTAAAAATTAATTCAAGTGAAGAAAAAGAATCAAGATTTTTATTATTTTCCCAAATAACAACACTCACATATATATATATATTTTTTTAATTACGAAAATCATAATTTCATTTGTAAATTTAATTTTTTATTTTAAAATATTTAATTATTAAAATTACATCATTCCGAAGAATTTAATTAAAATTGAATTAGGAATAATTGAATTCAATCCAAAGATTTTATTAAAATTTATAAAAATAATTAAATTCCTTCAAGGATTTTAAATAAAATTGTAGTGAAAATATAATTAAATTCCTGCAAAAAGAATTTCATTATTTATAACAATAATTTAATTCCTGTCAAAAATTTTATTAAAATTTTTAATAAAATAATTATATTCTCTGCAGGAGTTTAATTACAATTGCATTGAAAATGATTCAATTCTGGTAAAGAAAATTTATCGAAATTCTTTCGAGAAATTTTATTAAAATTTTTAAAAATAATTAAATTCTTTCGAGAAATTTTATTAAAATTTTTGAATATAACTAAATTTTTTCGAGGATTTTAATTAAAATTGAATTTGACAATAATTATATTCCTGCAAATAATTTTATTAAAATTTTTTTTAAATAATTGATTTCATTTCGAGAAATTATATTAAAATTGTTTTGAAAATATAATTGAATTTCTGAAAAGAATATTAAATTAAAATTCTTAAAAATAATTGAATTCTTATTAAAAAATTTAACTAAAACTGTGTATTGAAAATAATTCATTTTCAGCAAAGAAATTCAATTATTTATCAAAATAATTGAATTCTTCGACAGAATTTTATTTAAATTTTTTAATTTATGAAAATAAATGTAATCCCTGTGAAGAATTTAATTAAAATTCTTTAAAATAATTTAATTCTTACGAGAAATTTTATTAAGAATGAATTGAAAATAATTGTAATCCTGTGAAGAATTTTAGTAAAACTATTAAAAATAATTAATTTTTTTAGAGAAATTTTATTAAAATTCTTAAAAATAATAATTCAGTTCTTCTACAGAATTTTATTTAATGAAATTAATTCAATTTTTTCGAAACATTTTATTAAAATTTTTAATAATAATTCAATTTTTTCTAGAAACGTTACTATTTAGGTAAATAATTGGATTCTTAAGAAGAATATAAATAAAATTTTTAAAAATATTAAATACCTAATAATTAATTATTTAGTAAAAAATAAAAATTTATTATTTTCCCGAATAATAACACTCAAATTGAAAAAAAGTGCACCATTTATTTATCAGTAAAAAAAACATCCATTAGACAAAACCACGTTAATATAAAAATTTGTATACATAAATATGTTAATACTAGTTTTAGTATAATAAACCTTAGTACGAAATACTGTTTGTCAACCTGTAATAATTATTATTATAAAAATGGCCATAACTCCAAATTTGAGCATAAGTTTACGATAATTGTCATTTTCTTTCTCTCTTTTTTAATTTTACTTATAATAATTGTGAGATTCTTTATTAAATAAAGAATATTTTTATATAATAAAATACCAGACAATCGTAGACAAATATCAAATATACGTAATGGGAAAATAATTAGTATTTACATTTATGGCATTCAGTAGGTATAACAGTATAATATCTCATTAATAATTCATTAATTAATTTATATTCCATTTAATTCAATTTCAACAAGTACTTTGCACATTATTAATTTCTTTTCATTTTTCAATAAACTCTTTTTACTATAAGAAGACAAATATTTTAATAATTGCCACTTTCTAATCACAATTGTAAACATTTTTTCTATTATAAATGTTCAAGTATTAAAATTCAAATATTATTATTTATAATAGTAACTAATATTGAATTTTATAATAAAATACTAATATTTGCAATATTAATTATAAAATTTTGTAATAAAGTATCTATCATCAAATTTTTATAATAAAATATTAATTATCAAATTTTATATAATAAATTGTCAATTATAAAATTTTATAATAAATTATATCTTTTTATCTATTATTGTTAATCGTCTGGTATTGGCGAATTACAATTTTCATGCCACAATTTTGTTTTCGAATCACATTGAGAATAATTGGCAAAAACGTCTGCATAACCACGATCTCGCCACCAAGTACACAATTGTCTGTTCCATCCGCAATCAATTGTGTGAATTAATTCGGGACGTTCCATTCCTAAAAGCGTATAAAAATCCTGATCTCCTAGATGTCCCTGAAAAATCATTTTTTTAGTCTTCGAAAATAGATAATAATATATTAAATAAAAAACAAAACAAATTTGAAAAAAAAAATTAAAACTGCATTTTTTTCTTCTATTTCAACAAATTATAATTTTTTTAAAGACAAATACCTGTTTTATACTAAAAGACTCAAAAATCTATTATTAAATTTCTTTGGACCAATAAAAATTAGAGTTATTTAAAAATTGAATCACTTGAAAATAGAATTAAATTAAATTAAATTAATATTTGGATAAATTATATTATAAATAGATAAAAATCTGGATTCATTGAATTTTCAATTAATGGAAGTGAAAATTAATTTTTAATTAGAATGAATTTAAATTTCCATCGATTACAATTTTAATCAAGAAATACTGCAATTAATTTAATTCAATTACTGCAATTAAAATTGCAACTCTTCTTAATTTCTATTTGAAAAAAATTTCAATAAAATTCTTTATTAATTAACAGAATAAAATAGACAATTTTTCGAGAATTCAATTATTTAAATACAAAAATAAATAATTTATTCAATAATTGGATATTTCTTAAAATTGACACACAATTGATTGCGGATGGAACAGACAATTGTGTACTTGGTGGCGAATAATATTTCTTAAAATTGAATTTTTATGAAAAATGTTATCAAAATTTAAAAAAAAACTTGAATTCTTTCGGCGAATTTAAAAAAAATTATAAGAATAAATGCAATTTTCTATCACATTATGTAAAATTATATAAAAAATAATTGAAATTCTGCGATAAGTTTTGTTATTTATGAAAATAATTGAATTCTTGCAACGAACTTTGTTAAAAAATTTTTTAAAGAATTGAATTCCTATGAAAAATTTTATTTGTGAAAATAATTGAATTCCGGAGAAAAATATTATTATTTATGAAAATAATTAATTTCTTGTGAAGAATTTTATTCAAATTTTTTTAAATAATTAAATTCCCATAAAAAATTAAAAAATGTATTATTTGTGAAAATAATTGAATTCTAAAGAAGACTTGTACTGAAAATAATTGAATTGTATAGGAAAATTTTATTAAAATTGCAATTTTATTAACTAAATCTTGTAAAGGTTACTGTCAAAATTTTTTTAAATACCTAGAATTTTTAAAAGAATTTTATTTTAATTTTTCGAAATAATTTAATTTCTTAGAACTATTTTTTTCAATTCTCTAAATATATTTGAATTCTTTGGAGAAACTTCATTCAAAAATTAAAAATAATTGAATTGGTGAGAAGAAATTTTTAAAAAATTGGTAAGCAATTGAATTTCTATGAAATTTTTATTAAAATGTTGTAAAAGAATTCTGTTGGAAAACTTTATTAAAATAGTAGTTTCAGGGTTGCCACGCTTTTGCTCATTTCAAATTCCCTGACTTTTCCAGGTTTTCCAGGTTAAAAAAAGGAATTTTCCCAGGTTTTTGAAACTACATTTATATTTTACAAAATTTTTAATTCAAACCTTTTTGAAATTAAACATGTTATAAAACATGAAAATATCGATCACTCCGAGTCTTCGACTCGGAGCAATCGATATCTTCATGTTTTATAATAATTAAAAATGTTGGACTAATGAAATCATCATTTTATACCTATTATAAGAATATTGTTACTGTAACTTATTCAAAATTACATTCATTATTTTAATTCAATTATTGTTTTCCACAATTTTTAACTAAAATTCTTCTTTATAAAGTGTAAATTAATTATTATTAATAATTTCTGAAAAATTTCTTTCAACATTTTCAAATCCTTTTGTTTACAATTCAATTTTACAAAATTTCATCGATTATTCAGGTATTCAGGTATTCGGAAATTCTTCAATCAAACATATATTAGAAAATAAAAACTTCAAATAACTTCAAAAAAATTAAATTCAACTTTTACAAAAAAATTAAATCTACACAATTTTAAGTTAAAAGTATCAAAAATTCAAAGATTATAATTTGAAACCTGCTTTTCAAAACTCAATTATTATCTAAAGTTTTAACTGAAATTCATATTTGAATCAATTATTATTAGAAAATTCTACGACAATTCAATTATTTAAATACAAAAAAAAATAATTTATTGAAGAATTCAATGTTTTTTAAAATTCAATTCTCATTTAAAGAATTTTATCAACAAATTTTTAAATAGGTAATTAAAATTCTTTTCACGAATTTCAATAAAATTTTTAAGAATAATTTCAATTTTCGAGAAATTAGATTAAAAATGTATTAAAAATAATTGAATCTCTGTAAACATAAATTGAATATTTTTGAAAATAATAGAATTATTGCAAAGAAATTTATAAAAAATTTTTAAAATAATTCATTTCTTCTGGAAAATTTTATTAAAATAGTAGATATTGAAAATCATTGACTGGAGGAGAATTTTTGAAAAAAAAATTGAATTTGTTAAAAAGAATTTCATTAAAATTTTTGAAAATAATTGAATTTTGGTTATAAATTTTAATATTTATAAAGATAATTGAAATTTTGACGATAAATTTTTTAAACTTTTGACCATAATTGAATTTCTGCGAAGAATTTTATTACTTTTGAAAATAATTGAATTTCTTTGATGAATTTTAATAAAATTTTTAAGAATAATTATACATTTTTCGAGAAATTCCATTAAAATTGTATTAAAAATAATTGAAATTTTGCGATGAGTTTTATTATTTATGAAAATAATTGTAAATCTATAAATTTTTTGATTATTTATGAAAATAATTGAATTATTGCGAAGAAAAATCCAATCAAAATTCCCTGACTTTTCCAGGTTTTTTCAAGGTTTATAAAAATTCCCTGACATTTCCAGGTTTTCCAGGTTTCCAGGTTGCGTGGCAACCCTGCAGATTTATTAAAAATAATTGAAATGAGGAAAATTTTTGAAAATAATTGAAATTTTGCCAAGAATATTTTATTAAATTTTTTGAAAGTAATTAACTTTTGGAGAAGAATTTTATTATTTATAAAGATGATTGAAATTTTGACGAGAATTTAAAAAAAATGTTATAATAGTTCTTCAAGAATTAAGAATAAATAAGAATAAATTAAAATACCTTACATAAATAAATTGAAATACCTTAAAGTAATACTTTTCAACAATATGCTCAACCATATCCCTACTGACAATTTGATCGTATTCCAATGATTTTCTCAATCTATCAAGATTAAGAAGAATTACTCCACTATTGTAACCCGGATAACCACCCGAGTGTCCAGGATCGCCAAATATGGTTTTTGAATTTTTGCTTCTATAAAGATAGAGAACGTGACGATAAACTGGTGATAATTCAGGAGCCAAGCCAAATAAAGCTTCATCTCCAAAATTATCGAATTCTTTAAATATTTCTTTAACGTCTGTTCGAAATTTGGTATCAGCGTCAAACATTATTGCAACATTTTGTTCGGGTGGCGCTATCCTGTGCAAACCCAATGATAGAAAGAAGAGAGCATCCGAATAATAAGTTCCAGGCTTACTGCTAAAATGCGGCGACATAACAGAAACAATATCCTCCAATTCAGCCGCTAGTTTATGTACGTCATAAAATTGCACCTGAAAAAGACAATTTACGTCAAATATATAAATATTCAAATTTATATCATTTTCATTAAAAAAATTAATTTAATGTTGACCCTTTACTTTTTACACTAAAAATCGTTTTAAATTTCGTTGTGATTTAGAAGTTTTTACGGTGAAAAAAAAATCCAAGAATTCAAGGTTTATAAATTTTTCAAACATTTCCCTGATTCCCCTTGACCTGTGGCAACCCTTTTTTTTAATGCTACAAACAATTTAATACACACTTACCTTCATCTTTTTTCCCAATACGGTCTGAACCACCTGTATCACTTTCTCAGCGATACTTTTACTGTTGGTGTCACTGATAACATGTAAAAATATCTCAACAGAAGTAAATTTCAACAATGATTCGATGAAAATTTTAAATTTCCTTCTCATTGGTGAATTATTTGTAATTTTGGTAAATATGCACCATATATTATAATACTCTTTTCTTGTCGTTTTCATCGAACTCGTAAGATTTGTGTTGTTCATTTCAATGAAAACGTAATCACTGCTTGTATTTCTTTGCATTAAGGTGGATGGAAGATTTGTTTTCTGAGTGGCATTTTGTACTTTAAAATTATTAATACTCCAATAAGCACCATTCGATGTTTGTAGACAATAAAGAATAATAACAAAGACAATAATAATTGTCAAGTTCAGAAGAATCTTGCGTAATAAGCGCATTTAACTATTATATGAACATATTATACATATAATAAATACTTTATATATAATATATATCTCTATATTTTTTATTCACAAATCTTCTTATTTCATTATTTTAGCACCAACACTCGCGATAGTTAAGAAAAAATACATTATTTTCTTATTTATGGCAAAAAATACTTCCATTTTAGTTGAGAAAAAAATAAATAAAAACACATGGACGCAGTGAAGCATAAAACTTCTAGGATGCTGTCGACTACCAGTTGAATGGCGTGGGAGGATTATAAAAAAGAAGGGGAACACGGCGCCATCTTTTTCTAGGCCGACAATCGATTGGCCACAAAAGAGTCGCGCAAATATTTAAAAGATTTCAACTTTTACAATAAAATATTACTTCCTCTACAAGAAAGCAATAATATGATAATAAATTTTTCTGTTTATGTTAAAAAAAATGTTTTCTTCAAAAAATTAATCTAAAATAAAAGAAAAGCCAATTAAAAAAACATTTTGAATTTAAGTTAAGCTAAATTTAATTAGTTTAGTTTGAATTTAATTAATTTAATTTTAATTTAATCAATTTAATTAATTTAGTTTAAACTTCATTAATTTAGTTTAAATTTAATTAAATTAATAAATTGATTTCAATTTAATTAATTTCAAATCAAAACTTTGCTTCAACTGAACACTATTTTTTAATTTTAGTAAATAAAATTTTAATTTCTTTTATTTAAAATTTGTTAAATACTTAAATTCTTCGTTTAATATTTTTTCTCAAAAGAATATAAAAAAATAAACTATCAAAGTAACTTGTAAATTAAAGTTATTCCTAAAATTTTCTTCATATAATATTAAAATTTTGATTTACTAAAACTTTAAACTAATAACTATTTCTCAATTTTTTTTTAAAGAAAAAACTAATTTCTTTCTGCTTTTTTCCTATTAAATTTTTGGTTTTCAAAAGAAATAACAAAATTAACTATAGAAAATAAATTCTAATTAATAATTATAAAAAATTGTTTTTAAAACTTTCTTTCTTGTAAGTAAATGAATATTTTAAATGAAAAAAATAGTTTTAAAATATAAAGAATACATGAGAGAAGTGAATGACTTATTAATTTAGAATGCAAGTGTGCAATTTAAGCAATTTGCTACAGGGTCTGAGGCCACGTTCACAAAATTAATAGAATAGTCTTTGTCAGGAGCTGACTGAGCATTAAATGCGAGAAAAGAAAGGCAGTTTCTACGAATTTACAGTTGTCAAAAGTAAAATTATTTCGAAAAGTGAAGTGAAATCAAAGGAAAAAATTTGCCAACCGTTCTAATTACACCCACTAATTAATTTTCCTTAATTTATTCATCAAAAAACTAAACAAAAACTATTCATTTTGCTTCTAATCTTTAAAATTTTACTACTAATTCTCAGTGTACTAATTATTTATCAATTAATTTTCTTGCATCTATTAGGTATAAATTACTCACAATTTGCTTTAATTATTAGTTTATTTGCAGTATTTATTTGTTTGTTCATTTGTTTTTTAAATATTAACGAATTCATTAATCGAAATTTAAACATTTCTTGTGTATCTTCCCTTAAACATGACAAACTGCTTTCTTAACATCATTTTAACCTTATAATTATAATTACATCAAAATACTTTTAAAAATTTTATTTCCCTGATGTTTATTTTTCTCCGTTAATTATTTAATCCCATTATCAGACAAAAAAGTTTGCTAACAAATGATAAGATCGAGTGACATGATTACGTCATGGATTCTTGACAATAATGAAGAATGTGCATTGCAATTTTTATTGAGAGTGCATTTTTAAATTCTCATTGTCACATTGTTATCGATTAGAAATGTGAATTATTCTATTTTAAAATCTGTGTAAAGTGATGACGAGAGTTACTTGCGCTAATGGAATATTAAAATATTAAATTTCTACTCTTCTATTTTTTATAATATTGATATTCATCAATAATAAAAAAGAACATCAATCATAATCAAAAACAACAAAATAAGCAATGGCTGCAAAATTAAAGTCAATTTTCAAAAAACAAATAAGTGTAGAAAAAAGTTTGTCGAAGAATCAAAATCCAGAAGCAAAGAATAATCCAAAAGTATCATTTCTCAGTGGTGATTTAATTATTCCTCAAAATTCAACATCTTCGGAATCATCTATTATTTTGCGTAAAAAGCATGGAAGAAGACAAAAAAGGTAAAACTTTGTAAATTTTCTTAGAAAATTATAAATTTTAGCAAAACTGAATCAAGAAAAGAACCAAAAATTTCTCCCAATTTTAGAACATCACTAGGAGCAATAGAAGAAATTTTACGATGTGCAATATGCAATGAACGTTTCAAAATGCCGAAAATGCTACCATGTCAGCATACCTTTTGCCTCGAGTGCTTACAACAACAATTAACAGAAAGTATGATTACAAAAATTTATAAAAAAAAAAAATTGCACAAAAATATAGAAAAAAATTTAACACTTTAGCAGTTAGCTCCAGTTTAAACATATTTTGTTGTCTTCTTTTAAACACTCAAGATAAACAGTTTTCTTAAAAGCGAGCTTAAAAGTTCTTTAAGACAGAATTTCTTTTTTTGACAGAAACAGCTTTAAAATGTTCAACATGTTTTCTAACGATAAAAGAATGTTCACCGGAAAGTCTGCCATCAAATTTATATATTGAAAACATGTTGCAAATAATTGGCAACAGTGAGGAATCATCCGAAAGAATAGTACCAAGAAGTATTGTTGTTAATTTATCAACAGAAGAAATCAAATGTTTTAAGTGCAGAATTATTTGTATCAATGAAGAGCAATGCAAACACTGTAGACAGGTAATACTCAAGTAATTATTTAATTATAAATTAATAAAATTCAGTTTCAAAGAAGTAAAAAGAAAATTTTTTGATCGAACTCCAATTCACAAAGAAAATCCTAAACTCTTAGGAATATTTCTGCACACATCTGTCAATTTTTACTACTTCCGATTCTGTAAATTTTACTATTCTCGAAGTAGATTTTAATGGAAAGTAGTAAAATTTACTCATCCACAAAAAGAAAAAACCGACGAAAATGAGCAAAAATTGCAGACATTTTAAGTTTTACTTATAAAAAATAAATGTTACTTTACATTCTTTTCCGTGTAATTAAATAAGTAAATTAATTAATTACCAATAAAATTCAATTTTCTACAAATCATCCATTTATGAAGATTATAAACGCAACTCTTTTGAAATGCAATTAATTTTGAAATTTTTAAGTAAAATTAAATTATTCATTAAATAATTTCTAAGTATTAATTTTATGATAGCTCTTCAAGAATTAAGTTATTTAAAAAGAAATTATAGTTGGCTACTTATATTTTTAGATTAAAAACAGATTTTTTCTCAATGTAATAACAATTTCAGACATTCTGCAAAGCATGCTTTCTTCAACACGTAAATGATTTAAAAGACGAATTAGATGTTATTGTCGAGCAATTAGAAAACACAAACAGCAAAATAGATTCCAAAGTTAATGAACTTAGGGTAACTATATTCAAAGTGTAAAAAAATTAAATTACTTTAAAGTGAAAAAATTTTTAAATCTTCTCATCAAGCTTTACTGATATTATTTTACAGACAAAAGCAAATATTGTAAAGGAAAAGTTCAACAGAGAAATCGAAACAAAAATTTTAGAATTACAAAAACTACATAAAGAACGAATTCAAAAGGTAAACGACATTTTTGCTAAAGGAGAAAAATCGGCTGAAGAAATGAAGCAGAAAATTTGCAACGCCCAAGTTGAAGTTATCGAGAGAAAGTCTGAAGTCAACGATTCTTTATCGGACAATCAAGAAAAAGTAAGTTTTTCCATTTTTTCAATCTTGACAAACAAAATTTCCAAAATTACAGTACCGTCCGAAATTGTCAGTCCACCCATTTTCAAAGGAATGACAAAAATTTTTTAACATAAAATTCATAAAAAGTAAAATTTTTTTGGTTTATATTTTGAAAGACGATTAAATTTTGAAAAGAATAAGACCTTACAGAAGTCATTTGGCCAAAATTTGTAGAAGATATTCTTAAAAATCGTCATTTTCAATGTTTTACAAAAATTTGAATAACTTCTAAAATAATGAACGCTTTTTAATAATCTTAGGCTTTTTTTAAAGACCATTTTCAACAGAATAAGAATTACTTATAGGCATTAACCTGTAATTTTCAACTTGGCATAAGCATGACGTCAAAGTTGGACAAAAAAATTCAAAAAATTTGAAATAATATTATTAAAAGAAAAATAATTTTTGAAATTCAAACATATATTTTTATTACATTTTCTTGAAAAATCTACACCATATCATGTTTTATATATGTTCTAGAATAGTTTTTAGCACAAAAAATTAATTTCAAATTTTTCCAATTTTTTTGTCTAATTTTGACGTCATGCTTATTCCAAGTTAAAAATGACAGGTTAATGCCTATAAGTAATTATTATTCCGTAGAAAAAGACCTTTAAAATAAGTCTAAGATTATTAAAAAGCGTTCATTATTTTAGAAGTTATTTAAATTTTTGTAAAACATTGAAAATGACGATTTTTAGGAATATCTTCTACAAATTTTGGCCAAATGACTTCTGTAAGGTCTTATTCTTTTCAAAATTTTATCGTCTTTCAAAATATAAACCAAAAAAAATTTTAGTTTTCATGAATTTTATGTTAAAAAATTTTTGTCATTCCTTTAAAAATGGGTGGACTGACAATTGCGGACGGTACTGTAAATATAAAAAACATCTCCACATTAAATCTCAAGATATTCGAAATTCTATAAGTATTTTATAATCAAATTCAGAAAGTTTAACAATTAATATAAATATGGATTTCTAAAAATAAAAAATAAATAAAATAAAAATTATACTAAAAATTTGCTTCAGTTGACAAAATTCTTTCCACGAACGCAAAATTTATTATAAACTGAACTAAATGTTTATTTAAATCAAATAAATATTTTCTTAGTTTAAACAAACTTTATTTATAAGGACCTAAAATAAGGGCATAAAAATAAGGTTTGTGCAACAAAAGAGAATATTTGATTGAAATAAATTTTTTTTTCTGAGAGTATACGAAAATATAGGACATAAAATGACATTTAAAACGTGAAATCTGTTAAATAAAACAAATAAAAAATGAAACATAAAAAAAGAGAAAAACTGTTACATAAAATAATAAAAATGATAAAAAAAGAGGTAACAAAATTATTACGAAATACACGAAAATATAAAAATTAGAAAAAAAGATATAAATTGACTTTTAAAACGTGAAATCTGTTATATAAATAAAAAATGAAACATTTTCTCAATTTTTGCCAAATAAAATTTAACTCGTCCCACCTGTCTACTGCAGGATCTCGCATAGTATTGATCACTCTAAGGGGGGTGGGGTGTGGGAGGGTGAAATAGAGGTCCAGGGAGGTTGAAAAAGAGTCGAGGCTTGAAAGCCCCGTGATGAGACGGGAAAATAAACTTGTGGTGAGTTTGATAATATACGTTTAGGGAAAAAGATTTTGACCACATTAATTTCAAAAAGACAATATAAAAAAAATACATTTTTGAAATCAAAATGAATTTTTCTTTCAAACAAAAAAATAATTTTTAATCCAGAGAAATTTTCCTTGAGTCAAATAAATTGTTTTTAAATCAAATAACTTTTTGTGGAATCAAATAAATTTTCCTTGAGTCAAAGAAAAATTAACTATATTAATTTGAATGTTCTTTCATTCTTTCATTCACTTTTTCTGTCCCTCACACTCTGAAGTTGTCTTTTGTTTATACTTTTGTTTTTTGTTAACTTTAGATAGAAAATAGAAATCATCAGAATTTTTTTTAATTCTTTTCATTAAAAGACTAAAATTTTGTTAAATATTATGTTTTGTCAAATTGAAATTATTTTTGTTCTTTACTTCTAAAAAAAATTAAAAAATTATTAAACAACTGTGATTAAGAAATAGAAAAATTATTTATTTTCCATTATTTTCTATTTGAATCACAATTTTTTTAAGAAAATTATTATTTTGTTTTAGAAAAAGAAGAAAAATATTTGCACAATTTATATTTTAATCTTATCTTTGGAACAGGATTTTCGACAGGAATTAAGACTTTCAAAAATTCAAAATTCAAACCTTTTTTGAATTAAACAACTTATAAAAGTATTGTTTAGAAAACATGAAGATATCAATTGCTCCGAGTCGAAGACTCGGAGTGATCGATTTCTTCATGTTTTCTAATAAATTAAAGATGACCGAGAAATAAAATCATTATTTTACATTATGAGAATTTCAATAAAATTTTTTATAATTGAATTCTTTTGAAAAATTTTAGTAGATATTATAAAAATCATTGAATTAAGGAAATTTTTTAAAAATAATTGAAATTTTTGCCGAAAATTTTTTCAAATTTTTTTTAAATAATTGAATTGATTCGAAGAATTTTATCAAACTTTTTTCAAATAATTGAATTTTTGCAACGAATTTTATAAAAATATTCAAAAATAATTGAATTCTTATGAAGAACTTTTATTAATTTTTTTGTTAAATAATTGAATTATTGCGAAAAAATTTATAAAACACTTGCAAATGATTGAATTCTTGCAAAGAATTTTATCAAAAAATTTGATACTAATTGAATTTCTTCGAAGAATTTTATTGTTTATGAAAATAATTGAATTTAGGAAGAATTTTTATTAAAATTTTACATAATCTTAATTCAATTCTTTTGAAGAATTTCTTTGAGTTTATTTAAAATAATGGACTTTCTTTAATTATTTTAATTACAAGTTTTCAAAGTAATTGAATTCTATATGAATAATTTCTTTCAAGTTTTTATAATAATCCTCTTTCTTAATAATTGAAATTAAGCATTTAATTCTTGAATTTTATTAAAAATTTTTGGAAAATAATTGGATTTTTTGAAAAATTTCTTTAATTTATTGAATACAATCAAATATTTTAATAATTGTATTGAAAATAATTGAATACCTGAGAAGAATTTTATTATTTATGAAAAATACTTTTATTCTTGCGATGAATTTTAATAATATATTTCATTTTAAATAATTGAATTCTTTTGTGAATTTTTATTGAAATAGTAGATATTAAAAATAATTGAATTTTGATATTATTGAAATTAATTTAATTCTACGAAGAATTTAATTCAAATTATTTTGAAAAAAAATCGAATTGTTAAAAATTATTTCATTAAAATCTTTGAAAATTAATTTTAATAAAAATTTTAAGAATAATTACATTTTTCGAGAAATTCCATTAATATTGTTCCAAAAAATAATTGAAATTCTGCGATGATTTTTATTATTTATGAAAATAATTGAAAAAAAATGTTATTCTTCATGAAAATAATTGAATTATTGCGAAGAAATTTATAAAAAATTTGTAAATAATAGAATTCCTCTGAAATTTTTATTATTTAATTCATTGATTCAAAATTGTCATTTTCTAAAATTTCAAATTAAAATTTTTTTTAAATAATTGAATTCGTTTTGGGAAATATTTTATTAAAATCGTAGATATTGAAAATCATTTAAATTAGAAAAATTTCTGAAAATAATTGAACTTTGGAGAAGAATTTTGTTATTTATAAAGATAATTGGGATTTTTACGGGAATTTTTTTCAAGATTTAAACATAGTTGAATTTAATAAGAATTTTTTTTTTAAGAATTTTTGCAATTATTTTTAAATTCTACAAAATTGAATTTTTTTAGTATTTTCAACAAAAATTTAAATTAGAAAATTTTCAAATTTTATTATTTTTAAAATTGCTAATTTTATTTTAAAAAGGTAGAAAGAAGTTAGCCGCGCGATTTGTTGCTAGTTAATTTTCAATCGTAGAAAGAAGTCAAAACAAATGATTTCCCTAAATCAACAAAAATTTTCATACCTATCCAAATTAGACAAAACAAAAATAAAAAATTAAACTAAATTTCCCTTGTAAATATTTTTTTCTAAAAAGAAAATTTTAAAGTAAAAAAAATTTCAATTATTATTTATTCCTATAAAGAACTTTTCATATAAATAATCGTCGGGAAAGAAAAATATCCAGTGGTGGAGTCTAACTTTTATATAAAAAAAGAAAAAGTTTAGAAAAGAGGGATCAGAGGACCATTTCGACTGTAATGGTGTATATATACGTGTATAAAGTACATGCAACCAAAGTCTGCAAGTGACAGCCCATTACCACTGTGCAAATGCGAACCAGGGTTTGGTTTGGTGACCATACACGAAAGAAGGAAAAGGTTTGCTACCTTCTATTCTCAATTCCCCTATAATATACATTTAACAAAAGAAAAAACTCTCCAAAAAAACATTAATATCAATTTATCTCAATCATGAGAATAATAATTTCTTTATTAATAACAAATATCGGAGAAAAGGCATTTATCATTCGGATCAAATTTAAACCAAAGAAAAGTAGATAACAAAATTAAAAATAAAGTAACAAATAATTAATTACTCGAATAATGAAAATTATCCACCGATTAATTTGTACAGAAGCTCGAAGTAACTCCAAAAATTCCTGATCAACTAAAAAATTTTGATGAATGAAAGAACATTAAAGTTATTATTATAGTTAATTCTTCTTTAAGTTTAAATTAATTATTTTTAATAATTTTTGAAAAAGTTCTTCTTTGGGAATTTTTAAATGCATTCGTTTACAATTCAATTTTTAATTTTAATTTGAAACCTTCACAAAATTCAATTATTTCTAAAAATTGCAATTACTAGTAACATTCTCCAAAATTAAATTAAATTATTATAGATAATTTATTGAATAATTCAACATTTCGTAAAATT